ACATTTTTGCGATATCTGCTGATAAAGCAATTGGGTAGAACCTGAAGCGCATGATTATCGAGTAGAGGTCGTCTTGTACCGTGGGACCAACCATCAAAGTGTCGTTGAGTGATTGTCCGGTTGATGTTGTTGCAGATCCGTCGAAAACTACACGTAGCTTTGTGGTAGTAGAATCTTCCTTGAAAACGCAGTGATGTGGCAGATAATATACGCTATCAACTGGCTTTTCGATTTCTCCAGGCGGTATGTACTCCATATGCCCCATATCGAAAAATTCGTCTATGAATGCGGTATAGCGATCTTTTAGTTCTGGATTATGTTCCAGTCGTCGCTCGAGATAATTGAATCTGCGTTTTGCTTGTGCTAAACTGTCGCCAAGTTGACTATTGGGCTTGAAAGGCAGCTGCACGGTGAATCGTCCATTTTGTAGTATGGTTGTTTCCTTAAAGTGAGATTCACATCGATCTTCTTCTGTTGTTGTTTTTTTAAATCAGGAATTTCTTCTAATTCCCAAAATTTCCTTAGACTATCGTCAATAGACACATGAAATGACTTGAAGAAGGTTGTTGGAGGACCGGGTGTTCTGCCGCTAATCATCCAACCAAATAGAGTGTCATGTGCATAAAGCTTGTCTGTAAGCTTAATCTTTCCGCAGCCAACAATGTCGTTGTAGACATCACAGCCTAGGATTATATCGATTTCCTTTGGTTACACAAAGTCTGGGTCCGAGAGCTTAAGACGTGTGATATCCAAACTGTTCGGTATATTCACCCGTTCTCTCGGCAGGTTGCCAGAAAGTTTTTGAAGAGTGAAGGCTTCAATATGTAGAGATTGATTCTGAGAATCCTTTGTTTCCAGATTGACAGAACCAGATTTCACAGTTTTTGCTCCTCCGCCTGCACTCCTCCGCCTGCACTCATGATTTTGGTGTCCAAGGGACAGGCAATTGAAGCATAATCGCTTTGATTTGGCTGCTTGTCTTCTATTGGAAATAGACATTTCCTGAAATTTTGTGCATTGATACACTCGGTGATCACCACTGCAGCATGGGCAGATGATCGTCTTAGCGGAGTTCGTGTGGTATGTCTGTACCTTTTCATCTTTTTTGGAGTTTCCAGATTGGTCTGAATTTCGTTGATGATTTTTTCTATGAATTGGAGGTAACTGAAGGTCCTTCATAGCTTCTAGGGCGCGAGATCGTTCCTCCAAGAACTTCTTCATCTGTTTGATTTTTGGCACGTCACTTCCCGCGCAGGAAAGTTCCCATTGTCTTCTAGTTTCAGGATCTAATTTCTTGGCCAAAACGTGAACCCAGATCAAATCGCATTGATCAATTTTTAGTCCAAGTCCTGTCAGTGCCATCGTGTTTTCCGTGTAGGTGTTAATCAAGCGACGTATTGCAGCGGATGACTCATGCTTCATTGGAGTGAATTCAAAAATTGCTTCCAAGTGAGCGTGTGAGATCATCTTGACATCAGCATATCGATCCTTTAGAAGTTCCCTTGCGACTGAGTAGTTCGCGTTTGTAGTAGGCAAGTGGGATAGCAAACGAAACGGTTCATCCTTGAGGGCACCCTTTAGGTATTGCAGTTGCTGAACATCAGACAGCGATGCATTTGAGTGAACTGCTCCATCAAAGGAATCTAAGAAAGGTAGCCATTGATCATACCTTCCGCTAAATGTTGGCGAATTCAGTTTCGGCAACTTCAGGCAAGTATCTTGGTTTCGGCCAGCACCACGTTGGGAAGTGGATTTGTAGGATCCTGTTCCGCTTGCGCAGTCGTCATCTTTGACCGATTCAGCTGAATGTTTTCCTCGGTCATCTAACATAGTTGTGATCATTTCCATCAAACAATCTACTTGAAGGTAGATTTTCTCAGCTTCTTCCAATTCAACTTCAAGTGCATCTTCATCATCGTTTAGAACATTTGAAATTTGCTGATTAAGCTCTTTCAGTTCCTTTTTCTTTCGTTCGCACATCGTGAGATTGGCCTTGAGAGTTCCAATTTCCTTGTAGGTTAGAACAGATGCCTCTTTGTTGAAGATTGCTGAGACGGCATTTTCCGATCGGGTAATGACACCGATGTTAGCACTTCTTGATCGCTTCAAAGCAGGAAGAGTAAGCGTCACGTTGCTCATGTCACTAGCAGGTGATGACATTTTTAACTTTCCTCTTTTTTTCTAATCTTTGGTTCGTTCGTGAGTCGCGTTGCACCAAAAATGTTGTGCAGCAAAAGTTGGGAAACGAAAAATCACCAATCCGACTGAATAAAACTAGTGATTCGCAAAGAGTGTAAATTATTTCATGAGTTATAGATAGAAGTCAATTGATTTTTGTTAAATGCGGTTTTAAATAAGTAAATAAGTTCAATCGTAGATTTAGTTCAAGTAGAAAGCTGAGATGTCTTTTTTAGGCTTCAACACGCATAACTCTGCGAGCGAGCATAAGGTTTTTGATGATCGAATAATTCTTTAAACCAAAGCGAAGTAATGCTGGTACCGCGATAATATTATATTATCAAGATTAGCGTTGAACACTTTTCAACAAGACCTGACGAGACGCTCCCATGAGACACCATTGTGTGGGGCCGCAGGCGTGATGAACTTCTCAGTGATGCCTTTGAGAGCTAAAAAGCCGTGGTATGTTCGTGATACCTTGTGATACACATCCTGTTTGTGATACGCATCCTGTTTGTGATACGCATCCTGTTTCTATAGAATGATTTTTAAAAACGCCTGAAAAAATACAAACTTTAAAGATTTCTCTCGTCCAGAAGAAAGTATATCAAAGTATCGAAGCAATATTTTTTCTACAAAAAGTTCAACTTAATTTCACTCATGTGTCATATCAATGATTCACAAATAGTCAAAATATGCTAATTACACATAATGCGGGATATCCAGATTAGGTTGTTTAATCATGAACACGATAGTTACACACAAATGCGGGAAATTCGTTTAAGATTATTCATGAACAAATACAACCTGTTTTTTAACAGAAAATTCTTTAGTGGAACGATTGAGGCCTTGTTGAGTAAAAAGACACACAGGAAGGTTTCGATTTGATAATAGAACTGTAATACACAATTTGTTTCTTTCTCAGAAGTTTTTCAAGAAACGCATGTACGAAAATTCATGATTTCAATTGTAATCCTTATATTGCTTTAAATTTAAAAGCAATAACAATTTTTCTTCAAGGAACTACAGCCTGATGTTTTTCAGAAAAATATTGAAAAGGCTGAGAATTTTATTATTTTCTGTTTAATTGGCTCATTCGCAAATTTTCTTGCTCGACAACCAAACCGTGGTATTCAACTTGACCCGTTTAAAATTATTTTGATAAATGAATGAACACCTTTTTTTCGAATATTTCATAAAGATTATTTGTTTTGCTTTGATTAGTAACCGTATTGCGCTACCCTACTTAAAAAAACGCATTCTTTGGAAAAGCGTAGTTTCCTGCTTAAATAAAGAATTTGTTTCTTACTAGTTAAAACAAGTACTAGTTCAAACAAGTTCATTAAAATTTTCAGAATGTTCATTATTTTTATTTTTCTGTTCCAAATATGTAATTATTTACATATTTATTCATTGCTATCAGCAAACTCGATGGCATTAATTGGTGAACTGTTTTTGTTTTTTCCGTCATAAATTTCTGCACATTGTGCTCTGGTAAGAGGAGTGTCCGACTTCAAAGTGCAAACATGCAACAAAAATTTGGGTTTTAACTCCATTTTCGTTGAGGGTAGGTTTTATCCAACCACCTGCGGGGAAACTTTGCGCAGCATTAATCAGCTCCGCCTAGTCAGTTTCCTAATAAAAATATTGTGAAATTAAGGTGTAATATAAATTCATCTTCAAACAACCAATTAATTGTTAGCATATAAATATTGGTTTCAAAAACACGTACTGCGTCTTCCATTGCAGCAGAGTCAATCATTGTGTCGCTCAGGGGCAGATTTGTGATTTCCGACTTTGTTTGATAGCTTTCGATAATACCTCAACATACCACAAAGCCATCTCAAATTCGTCACAAACAAACGACAGTTTTAACGCCCAATGTGTTTACACCCCAAAATTCAACATGTATTTACACAATATTCACTGTAAGTTAACCCCGAGAGGACAGCAAATGGACCCTATATGGTCTTAAAATGCTGCTCCAAGTTGCCAGAATAATAAATTTTGTTATCGCCAAGGTTTAAAATAATAAATCACATTAATAAAAAATAAGATCGAAAATTCGTATTACAAAGAGAATCCTAATTATTGAACATTACTTACAATTGGTGATTTAGTGTAACAATCTCGATTGAGTTAAGTGAACGGGGGAACCAATGCGGAAGGATATTTTTCAGTTAAGACCAACAAATTTGCTTTTTATCAGGTTAAAGCTAATGTTTTTATTTTGGGTCCTAAAACTCGCTAATCGTAGGCCCCTTATTACGGTTTTAACAAATTTCTTGAATTTGTTCGCTTTTATATTGCTTCTTTTTCTAACTGTGACATGCTCTCAATAGACTCCATAACACCAATAGAGTTGGTTGGAGGCTTTTTTGGATAATGGAGACCCAGCTGAGCACATGCGGCTGCAGTAAGTGAACAAGCTCAAAGAAGTTTCCAGTTCTCAGCAGAGAACTGAAACCCAATTTCAAAAGCTTGTTTTTACTTTTTTGCTCGAATATTCACTTTTACAATTCCATATTGTCATGGATATAAGAAAATTTATATAAGATCATGCTTGATTTTCGGCGGCACAATCTTCTTGGTCGCGCGCATTTTTTGACGAAACTGAGCAAGGAGAGGTCTTTGACTTAGCACCATTAGGGTCCCGGTAACTTCCTCGTCGATAATCTTTCACGCTTATATTTGAATCCGTTCGTCAATGTGCATAAAAACAATTACAATTTAGTGTTGCCAAACTTTAACTAGCGAAGAGAGAATTACTGAGTAATTAACAAAAGGTACTTTGATAATTTAGAATTACTTTTCCCGTTTAGGTGACAGTGGTCCCCTCCATGTTTCCCGGCAGATATCCGGCAACCCTCTACACCAAGTGTGGATTGACGCGGGAGTGGAGGCCGGTTTCGCCTTCACAGATGACCAGAATGGGTTCCAGCAGGAGGGGGTGGGCTGGATGGACATGACTATCAAGAATGGAATCAGATGGAGCACTGCTAATGCCTACTTGAGACCTGCATTGACTCGACCGAAGCTAAGTTAGTCAGCTGATTTTAACTTTAAAAAACTAATTTAATCTTCCATTTAATCTTCCTTAAAAGCAACAATGCAAACTAAATCAAGTAACTTTTGTTTGTTTTTTGAAGTTCAGTTTTACTTGCGAGGCATATTTTGTAGGTTCCTTAATTTTTCGTTTGCTCTACCAACTCATAGCTAGGTCGATAATTATTCTTTCTTATTCTTAGGTCGATTATTATAACAGATAGTTTTGCCCGATGCGTTTCAGAGACGCTTTCGAAAGTGGCAGTGAACAAAGTGCTGTTCGAGAACAACAAGGCTGTAGGTTTGGAGGTGGAACAACCTGTGGGCAAAGAACCAATCAAGGTCAGTTTCCATTTTTTTCTCATTTTGTTGGACCCTTTTACAACCACATCTTTTTTATGCGGTTTGTTTTTTTCCTCATCCGACAGCGGGCTCCTGATGGTAAATTATACGCCGGAAATGGCGAAAAAAGGTTAAACTTAACCTGTACCAGAACTTCTATTGATTGACGGCACTTTGGATTCAGCCTAAATAACGAGCCTTTCATCTCTGGCAAATTAATTTCTGTTTAGACCATTTATCCACTAGGAGATTTTAAGCATTCGAGTTTTTCAGATCATCAAGGAGAACCGCGGTTGTTCGCTTTGTTCTTTTGAACTTTATGCATTTTTTGCTTGTGTTCCTTGGATTTGACAACTGTTCACTCATACTCAGGCAACAAGAACGCATCAAAGCGGGCCTCGAACCACAGATCTCCCGACCCACGGGCAGATCTCTCAACCACTTCACCGTCCCTCGTCTATGTGTTGTTTTTGTTGCTGCTTTTTTTCACTCATGACCATTTGGAAATCCAATTCGACCCAAAATGCAATTTGTTTCAGATCAGAGCACACAAGGAGGTTATTTTGTCTGCGGGTTCAATAGGGTCACCTCACATTCTGATGTTGTCTGGCATTGGCAACAAGACGGACTTGGAGCAACATGGAATCGAAGTGAAACAACATCTTCCTGGTTAAATATTATCAATTTAACTCCAATATTTCCTCATTTTGATGACACGTAGAAGATTTTTCGAAGTAATCGACCTTGTTGACCTTTAAAGAGATAGTAGTTCGATTAATATCTAGAAGTTGCATTGGAATCTGATAACCGCACAAAAATGCTAAGCTTAAGCTTCACATCAATATTTTTGCGTTAGATACTTGTTCTTGATCTATCTACAAGTTTCTGCAAAAAAAACTGTCTCAGGCATGTAATTACTTTCGTACAATTATGGGGTGTCTAATAAGCTTGTGCACTGGCTGAAATGTCTATGCGGATGTGGATTGATTAGTTTTTAAACTCGTTGTAGGCGTGGGAATGAATTTGCAAGACCATCTGGAGATCTACTTGCAACACAAGTGCACTCAGCACATCTCTCTCTACGGAGTGCAGAGATATCCAAACAAGGCACTAGTCGGCGCACAGTGGTTCTTGTTTCAGAAAGGTACTTTTTCCCATTCTATGCATAGTTGTGATTCACAAATTTAATAAGATTTCAGAAAAATATTGCACAGACTATAAAATCTAAAGAGCCATCTGCCAATTTTCAATAAATTGGTAAGAAAAATTTGAATTTGCAGGTGACCTTGAGATTAAAATTGCGTCTTAAAATTTCGCCAAGTAATGTCTTATATATGTTGTTTTGAACTTGTTACATTTAATGACATTACGCAGTGAGGTAACATTACCCAGCCCAGAAAAATAACCAAAAATTGCAAACACTGTAACGCAGCGGTTCTCCGTAATGAGCCGAAAAGAGATCATTTGTTGGTCCTTTCCATTTAGGTTAAAGCGTCTTAATTGACTCTCTAACGTACGAACAAAAAATATGGCTTGAATTATTATCTGATAATTTTTTCTAAATATGTGTCACCTAGCAGCATGTTGCCCTCCAGGTCAGTGTGCTAGTAGTCACATGGAGTCTGGTGGATTCATCAGGACCAACACTTCCATTCCACACCCCAATGTCCAGTACCACTTCCTGCCCTCCTCCGTCATTGAACATGGCAGGGTGCCACCACCATACGAGTGCTTCCAGGTTACACCAGGTGTCTTTAAAAGGGGGGGGGGGTGAAGGATTTCATTAGACGATTAAATACTGCAATCAGTTTAATACAATTTTGTCCACTCTAACTGCAGAATATCTATCAAAGAAGATACTCTATAGTAATTTTGTTACTGTTTTGCCAAATTCTAGATTAAGGTTATTCAAAACCTTAAAACATTGAGTAAAAACTGATTGCCAGTCACTGCTTTGAGAAAAATTTCAACTCCAATGAATGTTAATCAATAGACTTAGTGAAAAAGTGGCAATCATAAACGTTGCTTGACATTCAAAAAGCTTTAACATGATTGATTTTTTTGATTCGAAACTGGAAAGTCGCAAAATTAGAAAAAATATATCAATTTGTTTTCGGATTCTCTGTTCGTCTACACTTTTCCAGCTATCTGTTGGCTGTGTTTAAGTATTAACTGGTTCAACTGATAAATAAAAAAGCTCATGTTTGTAATGTCGAAATATTAAGTGTTTCATCTTCCTTTACAGGCCCATGTAGGCACCCTGCGTCCGAAGAGCCGAGGAACCCTCAAACTATCCTCTTCCAATCCCAGAGACTCCCCCCAGATAGATCCCAACTACTTCTCAGAGAGGGAGGACATGGAGGAGTTCATAGATGCTATTGAGATCACCAGGGAGATATTCAGACAGCCGGCATTTGACCCTTACAGAGGTCAATTGAGTTCGCTTAATTAATCCTATAGTTCTGTAATTCAAATTATTTGGTAATGAACAGCAATTTGAGTAAATCTATATCGAAAAATTCACTGAACGTTAAGATTGCATGAACGGTACCGTCAAAAAATTTCAGCCAGAATGTTAAGCTTCAAAATCAACGCAGCCTACTAATAACGTCTGATATGTTAAATTGTAATTAAGTACAGCCAATGATATTAAGTACAGGCAATGCTAAGGATGTTAACACAGACTTTTATTAAGAGTAATGAACGTAGTGCAGACTTTTATATAGGTCTTGCTGATTTTTGTTTTTTTTTTTCAGGAAAAAGTCTTAAAATATTGATGCACTGAGGTATAATGCACTTTTTGAGTTCAATTGAAATTCATTTGTTGAAAGTGACGTAAATACAGTGCTGACTTAAATTAACCGGACAAAATAAACAACACTCGAATTTTCAAACGCATTTTTCTCAAATTGGGGTGAGATTAGACAAAAAACGAAGAGAATAAAAATTGCTTAGAATTTCATCAGAATTAATATGGTGCAATTTTTTTCTCCAAAAATCTCAGCCAAAATGTTACCCAAAAATGGGTCATTTTGGCTTTTTTCATTTAATCAAGAATTACGCTGAAATTTTTTTGTTAATTGATTGGAAATATATATCGCAAGAGGCCTCTTACACAGCCCAACAAAGTTCCACAAAGGTTGAATCTCCAAAAATTTGAGTAAATTGTTTAAAATTTGTTTTTAAGCAAAGATTTTGGGTTTTATACAGTAAAAATCATGCTTCTTGACTATAAGGCAAAAATATTTTCTCTTATACAGGTTTTTGTAGTTTTAACCCTTCTAGAACTTTGTTGGGCTGTGTAGGAGGCTTCTTGCGATATATATTTCTCATCAATTAACAAAGTAATTTCAGCGTAATTCTTGATTAATTGAAAAAAGCAAAAATGACCTTTTTTGGGGTAAAATTTTGGTTGAGAATTTTGGAGAAAAAATTGCACCATATTAATTCTGGTGAAGGCTCTTTTCCAGTTCCCCCCTTTTAAATTCAACTTTGAAAAACTTTTTTAACGTTGTCATAATGCAATGAAATTTGGCGTGGAGAACAAATCGACAATTCTGAACAGATTTGTTCTTCATACATTACAAGGTAACATCACGCATTTAGCCGTAATAACACGTAAGACAAACTTAAAACTTGGTATTTTGAAAGGGGGAAACTGGAAAAGAGCCCTGGTGAAATTTTAAGCAACTTTTGTTCTCTTCATTTTTTGTCTTATCTTAAGACAATTTGAGAAAAGGTTTGAAAATTCGAGTGTTGTTTATTTTATCCGGTTGATTTGAATCAATGTAGAAATGGCGCGAAAAAAAAACATGAACGATTTCTAGTTTCGAAAGTGGAATTTATTTTAAAGATTTTCCAGCGGAATAAGAACTTTACCTTTTGATCCAGTTCATGTTCATGTTATCAAAAAAGCGCCAATCATAAATTGTTCTAGAAATTCAAAGAGCTTAAAGGGCATCTATTTTTTTCTTTGAAAATCGAAAGTTGAGATTTTTCAAGAAAGTCAGTGTTTTTTATGCTTACTTGCGTTCATTAATCTTTTCCAATCTTCGATTAGCTATGTTCAGTTTTCAGCAAATTTAGCAGATTTTTTTGTCACAAAAACTTTTTCTTCCTACTACTTATCCTGGAGTAGGTTGTTTTGGCCTAAAAGCAAAGGTTTCATAAACCTCGAAGTTGACCTTTTTTGTTGAAATGGTAGGTGATGAAATGTCGCCTGGCTCCGAGTACCAATCACGTGACCAACTGGAACAGTTCATCCGGCAGAAGAGTGACACAGCCTACCACCACTCGTGCACATGTAGAATGGGACCGGAACACACTGCTGTGGGGGAGGGGGCTGATATGTCCCCCCACGAGGCAGCTGTAGTGAGTGGGGAGGGGAAGGTGTGGGGAGTGCAGGGACTGAGAGTGGTCGATTCCAGCATATTCCCCAGCATGGTATGAATCGCATTACTTGTTTTTATTTTCCCAGTTAGTTCTATACTCTATTAAATTCTTTCACCCATGAGCCGAGCATATTCAGATAAACTTTTGTGAGTAACGTGTGGTTTCTTGTCTCTCAAATTGATTCAAATGGTCTCAAATATAAATTAACGGGCCCATGTGAACAAATTTTCCCCTAACCTAACAAATTGAACTATCACCCCCGATGATAAATTGGCAAATTAGTACAATGAGTCAAAATATGCCACGCTAAAACGCTCTGCATATGTTAAGTTGACATATTTTTGTGCAACCAGTGTTGAAAGCGTTTCAAGAGTTAGAGGCAGGATTTAATCATATAATTTGTTTTTCAGGGTGATATGTGTTTCATGCTGTGTTTTAGCAATAGTCATCGAATTGTTTCGATTTTTCATTTTCACATTTCAGAGGGCACTTTCTTGAATCCAGAAGATGAAAGTGTTATCAAGTATCTAAGTTATCCGTGCTTGTTTTATTTTATGCGAACTTCTGAGCTTGAAGTCATATTGTCTCCTGATCCTAGCAACTTCAAATTTCTCTTGTATCCTAATTGAGCATGTTAATAATAATTTACGTTTGAAAGAGCCATAGGCCATAACTTGTTGAATGCTTGCTATTTTTTTGCGGATGATTTGATTGATTGCTATTTGGCAGTTTAGAGGATAAATTTGATACGGCAGTGTGGATCAGAAAGTATGTAAGTGTTTTTGGGTTTTATTTTAGTGCACTACTCGGCGTTAAGAGCTCTAAAAATAAAATAAAAAATCTTTCTGAAAGAGAAGGATGAAATTTAAAGGTATGCATTTTGGACGACGCACAAAATGATGAAACTGGAAGAGATTTGTACTCCAACAGGCTCAAAGAAGCTATGTTTTTTATGAGCATCCCATTCCCAAAAAGATCATTACGAGGCCAAACATCCTCAGCCGAACAATAACCGACTGGCGTATTGTAGGTGAGTGGAAACTTGAATGCCGCCACAATCATGGCTGCCGAGAAGTTGTCAGATACGATAGCTGGAAAACAACCTCTTCCGCCAATCAACGCACCGGTCTACAAATCACCTTCGAACACAATCTACCATGGTCGGGTATCTGAAGCATTGCCAAGAAACGAAGAGAAGCAATCAGCTGTAGCTTGAATGTTCCCATACGATGCAATGATATAATTTATTGAAGAAATCGAGAATAAAAACAGAACTTGCTGTTTAATTCTAAACTAGAAATATAGTTTGTATATATATCAAGTGAAGGACGTTGTTAGTCAACTATTTGGTTTTTGACGTGAGGTTAATTGGTGTCAATGAGTTTCATGAAATATATGCATTAGATCAGTGTCAGATCTAGGCTTTTAGCGCGGTTTTTCCAATAAATCCTATTTTTGACAGATGAGAACATTTAAAGATCTGAGCTGTCCAAAAAGACCTGAAATATCCCTTAGAAGAAGAATTTTTTCTGTTTGTTAATAGTAAATATGCAAAGACAAAAAATGAAACGCCAGAAACAATGAGGGCACAATTAACGAACCAATTTTGGTTTCCAGGCTTGGTCTGCTGTATCGAATGAACTACGGAATTGAGAACCTCTTAAAATGAAAAAAGGAGCAGAAAATTACAAAAAAAAATTTGGGAAAAAATGCGAAAGTATTGACAAACATGATGCAGCAGATATTTGGCATTGTCTAGACAGGCTAAAGACCTGTAGTTCGAATCTCTATCAATTACTCATGCAGAGCCTAATATGATAGAACGATGAAAAATATTCGCGATGCAAGTTATTTTCCAGCGAAAGTCGCAAATAAGAATGCTACTTTTGATGGCAGTTTTAAACCAAAAGACTGCATTGTCATTATGATATCAATTTGCGAAGATTTTGAAATGCATTTCTTTTACACAGTTTGGATTGACTTTCCATTTTATTAAATGCAAAACTCGTGTGTTGCCTTTAAATTATTACTTGAAAAATTGTGTTTGTGTGCATATTGAATTTCCCGAATTTTCGCCAATTTCTCGCTTAATTCTGTGTTCTTGTATATACGCTTAGTCTCTTTATACAGTACCCCACTTTCTACAGCCTTCGAAATTCGTTGAGGGGAATGTTTGACCCATAGTTCCGGTTTTTTTCTTTTTCTCAAAAACGAGTTTCCGAAATCTAAGATTTTAAGTTCAGTGAACAGAACAGGGTGTGGGAACTTCCGTTGACTGAGCGGCTACATTCACATTAAGTTTTATAAACAAATATTCATCATATTCGGTAAAAACTACGCTTCTTTAAAGTTTTTTTGAACTTGTTTGATTTTGCTCAAAAACCACCGTCCCAAATCTTAAATTTTGGTTTCAATTGAATATGCAGTTTGTGTTAGGCTCCCCTGCCTGAGCGGTTATGTCCATATTTTTTTCACAAATGATTATGGCCTTCAGAATACCAAACATGATGCAGCAGATATTTGGCATTGTCTAGACAGGCTAAAGACCTGTAGTTCGAATCTCTATCAATTACTCATGCAGAGCCTAATATGATAGAACGATGAAAAATATTCGCGATGCAAGTTATTTTCCAGCGAAAGTCGCAAATAAGAATGCTACTTTTGATGGCAGTTTTAAACCAAAAGACTGCATTGTCATTATGATATCAATTTGCGAAGATTTTGAAATGCATTTCTTTTACACAGTTTGGATTGACTTTCCATTTTATTAAATGCAAAACTCGTGTGTTGCCTTTAAATTATTACTTGAAAAATTGTGTTTGTGTGCATATTGAATTTCCCGAATTTCTCGCTTAATTCTGTGTTCTTGTATATACGCTTAGTCTCTTTATACAGTACCCCACTTTCTACAGCCTTCGAAATTCGTTGAGGGGAATGTTTGACCCATAGTTCCGGTTTTTTTCTTTTTCTCAAAAACGAGTTTCCGAAATCTAAGATTTTAAGTTCAGTGAACAGAACAGGGTGTGGGAACTTCCGTTGACTGAGCGGCTACATTCACATTAAGTTTTATAAACAAATATTCATCATATTCGGTAAAAACTACGCTTCTTTAAAGTTTTTTTGAACTTGTTTGATTTTGCTCAAAAACCACCGTCCCAAATCTTAAATTTTGGTTTCAATTGAATATGCAGTTTGTGTTAGGCTCCCCTGCCTGAGCGGTTATGTCCATATTTTTTTCACAAATGATTATGGCCTTCAGAATACCAATTTTTTGACTGCTTATTAAAACGTTTATTTTTTTCCTGAAAACTGTCCACTCAAATCTCAGCTTCTGACTTCAATGTAGAAAACGTGGTTGCGGGAAGCTACCCTGCATTAGCGGCTACTCCCAAAAAATAACAAAAAATTAATTGTCCTCGAAAAAGTCATTGGTGATTTTTCCGCTGTTTTTTATAACTTATTCCGTTGTCTGAAATTTTGATTTCCATCGAAAGTACAAATTATGTGAAGCTGCTCTGCAGAAGCCGTTACCATCAAAAGTTTTCACTCAAATATAAGAGCCTCGTAATCAAATATTTAATTGTTGACCGTTTTTTTTTTAAACTGTTTGACCTGTCTCAAAAACTACGCTCCTAAATGTGAGACTGTTTAACCAAAAGAAAAGGTTGAGAAAAGCTCCCTTGTATAGTTGGCTTATTGCACTCTTTCTCATGGAAAAATTATGGCCTTCAGAACAATCAAAATTTTGATTTTTTGAACGTATTTTTAACACTTATTTTTTCAAAAACCGACCACCCGAACCTAGTATCAAGGAATTATATAAGGGATCAGATTTCTTAAAACCTCCGTACTTGGGCTGTGAAGCCACGCAGTTCATTCAAAAAGGACCTTACTTTAGGAAACCACTAAATACTTCAAAAAATTCAAGTGCATTTTTTTATAAGAGAAACACCAGATTTTGTTTGACTTTTTTAAATTTCGAGTCTCATCTGGCATCCATGCAAGATGTTCAAAAAGTATCAAAAATGTACCTCTAGTTCAAACCTGTTGCCTAATTGGTAGAGCATCCAAGTATTTTAGCAAATTCAGAAATTTTGTCGGATGAGTTGGCATTTTTTCCTCAATTTTACCAGCCGTAAACGTCTTTGAGACAAAACTCGACCTTTTTTACTTGCTGTGCCCCATTTCCTAATCCAATATTACATCAGTAGAAACGATTATGGCTAAAATTTCATCCGATTTTTTACTAAGCTAAGGAGTAATAATCATCAAACAAGCACAATTGCTGTTTTCAAAACGCTCAGGAAGCTTTAAAAATCAAATAACTGTTCCGTACTTTCAAAACACGCTGGTGCTTTACATCTGTCACCGTTAGGCACTCTCTGTGTATTTCGGTAAACTAGCTTAACAAAAAGACAATTTTGAAACTATTTTCATTGCTTAAATAAAATATAACGGGAATTTTGTGTGCAATAATTTGATTATTCGAATTAGAAAGTTTACCGAAAAGTTTTGAAATCAATGATTTGGGTTTACGCTGCTTGAAGAGCTTAGCTTCTATCTAAATAAGTGACAGTGCTTGCTTTTTTAAAAAATTGAATTTTCGAATTTAAGATAGGTCTTTTGGTCATTTACTATAATACATTAAATTTAAAAAGCTCATTCAAAATTTTTTCGAGATGTAGTCCTGGTTTTGATTGCACTAAAATTTGAAGATTTCATACAATGCAGCTTTTAGGCTGCTAAAAAAATTTATCATTAAATTCTCGCCAAATAATTTCGTATGTTTTGTCAGGACAATTTTTTGAATATATATTTTGGATCTTAAAAAGAGGTAAAACGTTTGTGTAGGAAATGCAACTGTATATCAAAGTTCTGTATTGCAGTAAGGGCTCAACCTTAGAGTTATCAGATGCAGCATGTCATCAATTCAGGCAGTTTTTCTGTCGTGCTTCAAGTAACTTATCATTTACAGTAAAACTGTTTCTCATAAATCATACAATTCTAATTTACAAATGAAATCTCATGAAATCAAGAAAAAAAAAAATTGGTGACTTTTCTTACATTATGGACATTTTTGTTTTACTTCGGCAATTGCAACAATAGTGCTGTTTTTTTTGCAAATCAGCTATTAGATGTTATTGAGCAAGTTTGTTTCATAGTAGCTGTACACTCGGTTGTACGTTGCTCATTTTAATACCTTACTCCAGGTTACAGGAAGTGCCATTTGTCGACATTTACTGACATCCAGTTTGATCCTACTTGACATAGGGTACATACTATCGCTTAAGCCAGAGCGTCAGAAAAACGTTTTGATTTAAAAGACAGTTACCTGAGCTTTTTCAAAAGGTACGAATGCGAAGGAACTATCTTTAGCGATTAGGTTTTCGGAAAGTGGAGACGTCAGAAAAAGAAATCAAAAAGAAAACAGTTAAGTTGGCAAAGTGTTGTAGAATCTCGGAGAAAAAGAAGCGTCCGTTCCCGTTTTTATTTACCTTATTGATGGAAGTGATTTAATGCTCATCTAGGTTTTTTCAAACCGGTCTCGAGTTTTTTTTTTCGCGTAGAAAATAAATATTTGCATTTCTCAATTTTTTCAAATCCGAATGGGAAAAGCCGCAGAAAAACTGCATTAATTGTAATCACGAAAATCACATTTCATTTTTTGAGTGTCAATGGGCGAAAACAAATTGAGAAATACTAATGGCATATGGATGAAACTAGGTAGGTATGATCACCCTACCCGTATTTGAATGATTTACCTCGGGATGACCTTTCAATGACCTTTAGGCAATTAGGACGGGAAATCTCGGTGTTAACACCCGAAAGTGCCGCATTCCTCCCACCAAATCTTCGAGATAGGAGTTGGCCACCTTACTAATAATTGGGAGGAAACTTATCTAATGGGAAATGAAGCAGTCCAAGCATTGTTTTTATTTTAAAAGTGTTCTTACCGGAGTTCAGTCGTTTCAAATTCTTAATGTTGAATTTACCGATTCTGTTTGAAATAATAGAAATTAGCGAATATTTGTTCCGCTATTTAAGGAGCCAAATCAGAGACCGACCCGTGCACAATTATGCGTGACCTCATAACTTAAATCGACCCAAACGGATAGTCGAATTGACGGGTAGTCAAGGTAGCCGAAAACATTCAATTCATGGAACCCTGCATAATTTTGTGCAGTCTCAAATCCGAAAAAAACGATGGTCAAATCGGCCGAAACACAGCGCAGCAGAAAGTTAGCCAAAGAAACTCAACTATTGAATCAACCGTGAAAAACAGTGATTTCAGCCAAAGACTTACAAATTGGACAGCTTCAGAAGGCCGACAACCCAGAAGGACAA